TGTCGGACAACATGCAGTAATTTATAAAGGTTTTAAATCAGGTTGGGTCCGGATTAGCCAGCAGACTGAAACGTTCCTATTCCTTCTAGGCTGCTTCAAAATTTTTGATAATTTTAATGATAAACTGCAAAAGATGAGACATTTTGTTAGCAGATGCATCATGTTGATAGACGCGCTTTTAAACAGTTTAGTGTGTCAGCCAGTTAGAAACGACTCCTGTATCGGTTAGATGACTTTCTTGAAACGACACACACGCCGATACAGTGTTTTGCTCTACAGGCACCACGCATGCACCAACGCGTCGCTGTTAATGGACCCTATGGCGTAAATATCGGTAAGATTGATAAGCGTCTCCCTGAAATGAGTTTGTGGAACTTGCGATGTCTGTAACATGTGGCGGTGCCACCAAGGCTTCCATTTTTCCGTGTGTGATCAAATACTACTGAGAATTGCATAATTGTATCTTCTTGGCCGATTTATGGACCCGTAGCAGTATCCTCAACCTTTATCACATGTTGTACTTCATATGGAGCTCCCCCAGATAATGTTGCTTACGGACCTATTGTTGTGTCGTTACGCCATTGGCTGGACCCATCACTAGCATCCACTTTTTGAGGACGATTACGGAAGAAACCTTCTGATGAGAATCTCATCTGTTCAGATGCTGCTGCATGAAGCAACCAAAGCCTGTGTTTTTATGCAGAAAACCCGACAGAAGCCAAGGCCCTTCGCTCAGCGCTCAGATGCTCGCTTCTGGAGGACGGAGGTTCAGAGGCGCCTCTACCTGCAGCCGGGCTCACAGAGAGGCCAGAACGCTGCAACATCCAGGAGGCCTTTTCAGCCTCGGTGGCGGTAAGACCGACGGCCGCTCAAACGCACGCTAATTGACCTTCTGTGGTAGACGGGGACGCTCTCAGTTTGGGTTTCTTCCTGCAGACCGCCGCTCCAGCAGGCGCAGAGGGAGGCCCGCCAGGCCACCTTCCTTCTTCGCAGAGGTCTCAAGGTTGGTGCGCTTCCCAGCTAGTTTTTAAGATCGCTAACGTGCCTCAGTGAGTCATGTCAGCCGTTTGCTCGTGTCCTTCAGGTTCAAGCTCAGGTCCCACAGCCAAATCCTACCTCTCCTTCATCCGAAACACACCAGTAAGCATCCTCGCCCCCCCCAGCGGATTCACACAAGGATCTGTGAGCTCTGTAGGTGTGAGACGGACTTCCCTCTTTGTCCATTAGGTGGCGCACGTCCGCAGCAGGCAGCGGAATCCTGACCGTTTCCATCGACAACCCAAAAGCCAGGACCCAACCCGAGTGAGCCTCCAGCACATCGGCTCCAAGCAGAAAAGGTCTGTGGAGTCATGATGCTTCATCTACGCCTCCGTCTCTTTTTAGGCCCCCCACTGCGTGGACTCTACACCCCCAACACGTCGCCTCCGCTCCCGTTAAAACAGAGACGGTGGAAAGGAAGGACCCCAAAGGAGTAGCGCTGCAGTTTGACATCAACAGCGTCGGGAAGCCGGTAAGAAGAATTTACAACGGTTCCAGAAACTACAAACATTGGAGAGAAAAGACTAAACCTGAAACAATCGGATTAAATGTTTATTGAAATAATCGTCTACTAATTTAGTAATTGATTAATCGTTAACTGGAATATAGAGACTGTAAAACATGCCTTTAGCTGACAGAGCGACCCACTTCATTTTACCAAGATTGTAAAATAATAAAAAGGTATAAACATTTGGCATTTAAGACAAAAAATAAAATCTGTCAATCTTCTCTCTCAGGGCTCCAGAAGTGGAAAAGTTTTATTTCACCTGGTTTCATTTCATAAAAAGTCTTTTTTAACCCTTTATAGGGAACTACTATAAAGTAAAATACTTGGAAAATCTAATTTTCAAGCTGATGGCGTTATTGGAATGCAGAACAAGACCTTATTACCTTTGTAACATTCAAAAAATCTGGATATTTTGATGGCAAAAATGAAAGTCAATGTAATAACAAGAAACGCCAACTTGCCTGAATATATTAAGAAAAATAACAAAAGTGCTTCAATAAGAAATTCATGAAAAACACTCAGAGTGAAAGAAACACACTTTAATTGGTCCAACATAACTTTAGAGGCATTAATGCTGATACTGGTACTTACATTTTTAGTTTATTAGCCTAAATATATAATTGTTAACTAGGCTTATTATCTTTTTAAGTTTACTTTTTAACTTTCCAATTAGCTTTTTTTCTTCTTTTTTTTCTTCACTTGTTAACTTTTATTTTCAACTTAATTTCCAGTAGGTAATATATCGTTCAAGGGCTCATCTAATTCGTCAAATGCCAAAATAAGATGTACAGCCATGTAGCAGCTGAATGGCTGGATATAGATCTTGTGCTTCTAAACCTCACTGAGGAACGGGGGGTTGGGCTCCATTTGCAAAATCAAAAACGGTAGCTTGTCCTAGAAAGGGAATTAAGGAACCTTTTGCTATCCGATTGTTAATCGACGGAATAATCGATTTGAAAAATAATCTTTAGTTGCAGCCCTAGAAAGAACAGCTCTTAGCTTATGTACGCCATATATAACCACAGCGCCTCTCCTTTTTCCAGCAAACGTCGATGACTCTAAGTGAGCGTTTCCGTATCCTCAAAGATCAGCGCGCCGCCTCGGCCAGAAGCGAAGGTGGCAGGTTTGTTACCGTGGGTACAACCCTCTCCAAGCAGAGCAGTGTGTGGCGTGTTGGACGCGCCTCGGCTTCCTACAGCGTCTGTGTTCTTCCTGTCTGCAGTGGTCGGTGGAGTCTGAGGACGGCGGCGCAGAAGGTCCCCCAAGGAGCGGCTCTGCAGTTTGACATAAACGGCGTCGGGGAGCCGGTAAGAACGGCATCTGATTGGTTCCCGCAGATGATTTACTCTTTAAGGATTTATGGAGTGAATTTGGTTCCATTATTGTTGTAGGAAAAAAAAAAAGAACTTGTAAATTGAATAAAAAAAAAAAAAAGGATATTTAGAAATGAATTCTTTTTTTCCCTTTACTGTTTACTAAATTTTTTCTTTTCAATTTCAGCTTTTCAGATTAAGTTTTAAAAATCACATTTTTTAAAATGCTTTTTTTACAGGTCACATTCTCTTATGCTCCTGTCAAACCTTCACGTTTTAGCACGCGTATGCCTGACGTACGTAAAATCTTGCAAAAACGGTGAAACGCGCTGGCACACATCGACATACGCCCGTACATCAATTAGAGCAGGCTCAAAATTCCCCGACGTATGCCAGCGTCATACGTTACAGGTCAGTTCTCAGATCGTTGACATACGTTAAATGTAAGTTACTCATTAGTCGTGGCGTCTAGCTAATCCAAAACCTCTGAGTAACTTCTGCACAGCTTATGCCGAATTTATCAAGAACTTCTCTCCAACGCATCTTAACATATCTGACATCTACGGAAGAGGATTAGGGCCACTGGGAAAAAAAAAAAGTTAACTGATTTTTAAATTTTATTTCAGTTTAA